ATAAAATACTGTAGGCTGATCATGTAATGAAGCGAAACGGTGGAAGCGAATCTGATTTGTATGGGAGTTGGAGCTTGTTTGGGATTTTCTAACTAGGAAACCTTCGCAGTTAGATTGACCATCAGTCATCAAAAATAATCACTATTACTAGATCCAATGCTGTAAGCTAAGATTTTTAAACAGTGCAAGACAATATCAGGGTGGACCCACTTTACGCGTAAATCCAAATAATGTGGACCTATTTTCAATAAGTTGGACCCATTTTACACAAATATGAAAAATCTGGATCCATTTTCTAAAAAGTTTTAACATTTTAGGCAAAATATCAGAAATCTGGACCCATTATTTTAAAAAGTGGACTCATTTTATGCATAAAACTGCATAATTTGGACCCATTTTTAAAAATTTGGACCCATTACAAAATTTGTGTGTGACCGTCCCAGTAGCTGGCTACGGCATTGATTAAATCTAAATTTTTATATCCAAGCGCAGATCTGCCCTTCCTATTGCGTTATCATGACTTTATTTGGTCACGCGAAGCCAGGTTGGAAGGGCTAGGGATTACTCTCCAATCTCCCAAGCCTCACTCATCCCGCAGGATCAGCAAATCCTACAACCACTAGACTGGTATCCCACTGCATGACAGCTTACCGTACTCCACCCTAATGTGTATCCTGCTAGAACCACAACTAGCCACTAGGAGTAGCGTATTGTAACAGTACAACAAAATCTTGACGATTGTGTTCTTGAATTGATTTTGCCGACATTGGCCAGGAAATTGAAAGGCCAAGAATTCAGAGATTCTTTGTGTGGTGAATTTGCTCCATAAAAAATATGCCTGCTTTACTTGAATGATGATAAACAATAATACTGATATCAAATTTGCATGACGGTTGTGTACGATGATTATTCAATATGATTGATTGATTGATTGATCAAGTAAAGCATTGTATTTTTTTTTCTGCACCTACATTTATTCTGTATATTACAGTAATATTAATTAAAGACTTTGATAATACTGTATCTAGTCAGATAGAACAATGATACACGTAAGACCAAAATAATACTGTTACCTTAAACAATTTACTTAGCTGGCTGCTCACGAAATAATAAAAAATGTATTTTACAATTTACATTTTTCTTCCCCGTAGTCACACTAACTTTCAAAGTTACACAGGGGCGTACTAGGCTGGTTTCGCCGGTAGAAAGGGGAGTGGGAGCGGTCGAATGGTGCGAAAATTGTGATTGCGGAAATAAATCTTTATACAAGTAAAAACACATGGTCATTTTTGTCTTTCCAACTCACTGAGCGGAATTAATGCCAGGAGATGACGGGACTTACGGTCCGAAGTTTACCTATTGTGGAGGTTATGCTATTGGACGTTTTAAGCCTAGAGTTCAATCTCGTTAAACTTGGTTGGTGTTCTTTGTGGCTCCCGTCGAGAGGGGTGGCGCCAGGATTTGCCCGAGGGGGGAAGGTCTCCCCATTGGTGCCAACCCTGCTGGCGAAGGGCGAGTGCCACACATCACCCTCTGCACAGTATTCCATTAGTTCTTAGTCAGTGAAAGCAAAATGAATAATATAGGATATAGAAGTGTGTAAATACCGCATGCAGTTGCAGACGATGGTTCAACTAAAATCTCTTGGATATTCGCTAATGATCCATTATTTGGAGCCGGCTTCAAATGTAATATTTTACACATTAGCTCGTACATATCGATTGCGTTTAAAGATTCAACGGAGAAGTTGCTTCTGAACGCTGGACCTTCTGCCAACATCATCGATTTCATTGAAATTTCCTCATTGTTAAAACCGTGATCTGCCATTTGGCCGACGTCGGTACCATTCTAGAAGAAATAAGAATATTTAGGCTTACCGTCTCTGAGAAGAAATTGGATTGGATTGAATTTATTCGGCGTGAACACACCAAGGATAACCCACGATAGTCTGAAGACTTATCCAGTGGGGTCCGATGGCGATTTGGCAGGAGGGCTTACACCGGGAGACGATCCCGTCACATGTACCATATTGAACGCGGGACCAAGGGTTTAAATGTCTCATAAAACATGAATTAAAACTCACATATTATTGTGTGCTTAATGCACTTTAAAAAGAGGAACAAGGGAGGTATATGAAAGGTGCACCTTCAACTTACCGCTAAAATGATCCACGGGAGATCAGCAATAGCAACTATCGGAAGGATCCTATAGTGATCACGATAATGATAATACTCTGGAATATCCTCTTTCTTGTACACGGTCATATTTGGGTGCGCATTCTTAAGTTGAATGTACATAGTTTCCAAAAAACCGTCTTTCGGCAAGATCATTGCTATTGGGCTTTCTGCGATGTACGCTATTGTGTTGTCCAGATCGATGATGTCACTGAGGTTAATCACATTATTATTTGAGACCTCTGTCATTCCGTGATCACCTGCAATAATGATATTTACTTGGTCTTCGAGTCCAAACTCTCGGATTTTTTGTCGTAGATAACCAATATTTTCGTCACATTTTTTAATACCGTCTCCAACTTGGGTGGACAATGGCCCAAACATATGTCCTACAACATCAAGGTAAGTCCATTCTACTACTACAACATCCATTCCACCCCTGAGCCAATTTATTGCTGTGTCAATTTTTGACCTAAGTTCTGCTATAGGATTGTCAGTAAACTTGTTTGGTCGAACACCACCGAACTCTGCAAATCCCCCAATATAATCGATGGATCCACTCGTTTTCTTCTGTTTCCGAGCCGTAACCCAAATAGGTTCAGCGATACCGGAGTTCCACCAATAGGAATCATTTTTGTTGGCAGTCATTGCGTACGAGTTATGGACACTATCGTACATGTGGTTATGGACCAGACCATGGCTTTCTGGATACAAACCTGTTAAAAAATAAAAATAACACCATAGGCTTACAAATATCAATATATGCATATAATGAATGTTATAGACTCAAAGATATGAATTTTCAACTAACAGCTAAGAGACCAGTGAAACCTCATTGATATATCAAAGTGTAAAATAAAGTCTTCGGACAATTGTCGGAACGGAATAGTGAATCATTGGGACGACCCAAACTTATCTTAATAACATGTAGGCCTATGGCCTATATCATATTTCATTTTTAAAAGAACGATATCGATCATGGGAATTTCTTGGGAATTTCATCTTGGGTCTACTAATATTTTAGTTACCGTTCCGTCAATTCTAGAAGTCTAGTTTTTCGACAAAAAAATATCCTGCAGCTATCAGGCTGTTAATAAAAGAACCAGATGGCGATGTGTTTTTCGTCTGTATTTTATAGTCTGTATTAACTTTGTATTGTGATATAAATAAGTATTGAGGTTAAATTCCATCGATGTAGGCCTAATAACAAATGACACTAAAGTGAAAATGAATCCTTTATTGATTTATTTATTCAGCTTTAAGCACTAAGGCCAAGGATATGCCAAACAGTGAACTAAATCACTCTTCAAAGTGGCAATCCCATCACAACAGGGGCTGTATGGACCAGTACACCGGGGTAACCACCTACTCAAAGTGTACACTGGGCCTACGGTCTATATAGAATAGTCCTTATCCGAGAAGACTTCAGAACCAGTGCCGATACTAAAGCTGTAGGTGTTGCAGTGCCCCTGCATTAACCTCTCGACCATCAACTCAAACAAATCCTCAAAAAAGAAAGCTTCGCATAAGCCTATACATATTGAATGTTCAATAATTATTTCCTGTCATGACTATAGGAGGGATACGACTTTTAAATTATTTAGACCTATTATGCCTATGCTGATCCATTTGTTACCAAAACCTCGAATTATAGCATTTGGCCTTTTTATTTATTTTTTTAATTTATTTTTTTTTGCGAAGTTTGGCTGGGCTTCTTTTTGAGATGGGCTACTTTTCGAGATCGGCTTCTTTTCGAGACTACTTTTGCAAAGTAAAGAGGCTTCTTTCCAAAATGAATGCTATAATTTTCGTGAATTTGTACAATTTAATAATAAATAAGGTAAATGTAACATCAATCTGTATTATGGAGTGTATTTAACTGGCATTATATCACCTAAGCTAATGTATAAACCAAGCTTGTTTTTAATTTATTTTGTTTTCTGAAATTCATGCACATAGTGTATGTACTCAGTCTATATCGAAAAGAAGCCTACACTATTTTGAAACGAGGCTAATTTTGTAAACTAAAGAGGGGGCTTTAATTCGAGATGGGCTTCATCTCGAGATTACAAGCACACTGCTTTAAGCAGCTTTGATTTTCATTAAAAAGCGCTACATAAATTGTGTATACCACATGTATATGATTTTATTGCTAAATTGGTGATGGGTGATAGGGGGAACACGTCACGACCTTATCAAAAAACATCTCGTAGGCCTAATACAGACATAATTAAACTCCGACTCTTCATTTCCTGAACACATACTTAAAACCATTTACTCCAGTCTAGTGTTGCCATAATATTATCTGAATTATGGTAACCTAGCCTGGGGTAGCTGTGACAATTAAAAAAGCACCTGAACAAAATTTATCTAATTCAGAAACGGGCCGTTATAGGGCTATTCGTAGTGCTGGATGGCGAGATCACTAGGAAGAACTCTTCGTTAAATCAAGGTTGTTTAATATTTATGATTTATATGATTTTAATGTTGGCATTTTATGTTTCTTGTTGAATCTGCAGTAGTCCCAGTGTCCCTGGCTAGCAAATTAATGATATTAATGATAATCATATCCACAATTAGGCCTATACACTAGCAGTAGCGTATCTAGAAGTCTAGAAATGAGGGGCTGCTGATCGGGGGGGGCGCGAAGATGAAATGGGAGGCTCGATGATCAGTTGTGGGGCGCTAATTCGCAAAATAAGGTGATTTTAGGTGATTTTTAACTACTTGACAGT